CAATTCCCAGCAGATCTCAGATAAGTTGTCAAACTGAGCTGTAGTGGCTATTGTGTCTGGATTATTTCTTTAAATAATCTACAAGTGCCCCTCCCGAGATCAGGCTCTGGATCCGCCACTGACCGCAGTCCGCACCACCCGGCCACACTTCTCAGAGTGAATGGCAGGAGGGTGCGCCCCCAGAGCCAGTGCACCCTCGTTTCACCCTAACCCCCCTCGGATGTGACACCCTGGTGCGGTCCGCACTTCCCGCACTCCTCCTTGTTATGCCACTGGAAAGCAGGAGAATCTTAATACAGGCATTTGCCCTGCCTTCCATTATAGAAACTACAGGGCATGTGCCGTAATTACTGTTCTATTCCTCCAGTGAGTGAGTCTCATTGCTAGACGAGTAGCTGTCACTCTGTGCAGACACCAATATACCAATGAATCTCAACCTTGGGGAGATTGCCCTGTTTAGATGATCCACACAGAGTTCCAGGCTGCTTAAGTCACATGTGAAAGGGGTGTAAAAAAAAAAAAAAAAATATATATATATATATATATATATATCATGTAATTAGCAGTGGACATATCATTTTAGTCTAAATTTAACGTCTTCTCTGTAAATTTTGTAAATATCAGTGCAGGCCTTTTCAGCAACTTATCACATAAATTATGATCTTACTGTGGCTAAATATCTTGAACTAAATTGCTTTGTCAAAAGTGTGATTTAATATCTTTAGGGGTAATTCCTACAGAGAATTCAATTTTGTGACTAATTTCATCTATTGTTGGAAAGTAACCTTTTCAGTATTGTTCTGAGCTTTCATATCACAAGGCTCTGTACAGGTTCTGAAATGAAGTATATTTTAATATCACTATGACCTTTATATATCAGACTGCTGAGATCTTTTTCACTTTAAACGTTTATCTGTAAAATAATACTTGATAGAACTGGCAGAAATTATGAAACAACTCTCGGATCTCAAATGTGCAATAGATGATAAGTAATATAAAATATATTTATTTGAATTTTGTTATAAGAGAATATAATTAAAACAGCTCTGTCAACCCTATATCAAAAATTAATATTTCATAAATATCAAATCTTTCTGAAGATTGACTGTGTTGGATGTAGCGGATGGCATTGGACTGTCCTTCAGGATTGTGCTTAAAAGACTGTTCGTGGGTTTATTTTCCTGTGTAATTGAAATTGTATGTGGAATTCGTATGTTTGTTCGGTAGTTTCCATCCATATTTCATACGAATGAAAACTACCGAATCAATAGACCACCCCAGAGAGAAGTGTGTACCTCATTAAGGCTTTCACGCTTCTCTAACCACAGTTAATCGGTGCTTTATTACTATATCTGGGTGGCCGCCATTCGGTAAGCGAACACGTAGCGACGGCCATCTTACGCACGAACTCTCACCGGTGTTTTGTCGTCGAGTGTCTGGAACTCAAATCGGACACTCGATTACCCGAACACAGCTGAGACCTCCAGACCTCCATAATTCCCGAACGGAGGGGCCAATTAGCCCCTCGTTCGGTGAGTTCAACCTACCGAACAATGGGATTCATACGAATGCATAATTAGCAATGGATGGCAAAGATTTGTGAATGTTTTACCTCCCGAACGTAGACCGACCACAGGGCCAAAACACACGGAACCCTTTTCAGCTACCACCTCGTGTGCTGTCGGTCAAATAGTTTATTCCCCATAACTCCTGAACCCCTGGTCTGATCTGGGTGAATTTTGAATATGTCGGTCACCCAGATCAGAGTTACCAGGGGATGCCATTTAGATCCTTGTACCCCCCAGTTTTGGGGTACATCCAGAAAACAGGGAAAACTGTAACAGTAATAACTGGATTAAGTGTCACACTGAGGGGAGGGGATGTATGGGAGGTAACTACTGTACCATTGGTTACTGTCCTAATTATTGTAAATCCCTCCCTTGCATGGGAGAAACCTTTATAAGGAAACGCTGTGATTAAAAGTTCAGTTCTGCTCATGATGCTGTGTCGTCCAGTCATTGGGATTGAGGTTGGGATATTGTTGGAGTATTTTGCCTGCTGGAAATATTACCCTGTGGATTTATAATACGTGTTCCTGAGCCTTACTGGGATCTAAAGTGGAGATATGCTGTGTAAGACCAGCTCTTCGCTACATTGGAATATAACTGAAATTCCATCCCGTCCAAAAGATATACTGAGACCAAGTAGGGACTACTTTGTCTCGGTAATTTTCCTTTGCTTGACAAGCTCGCCAAAAAGGCAGAGCTGCCTATTGTTATGTTCTGCTTACATTCTTTGCATGGAGGATCCCGCTTTGGGGGATCCTCCATTGGCCTTAATGCTGTGCTCACGCAGAAATAATACTAGAAATAAATTAAAACTGAACCATATAGATAACAAGATTCTGCCTATATAAGCGGTAGATTACACGCTGACAGCTTATAACTGCTAGGGTTTAAGGGTATTAAAACACTCTACCAGCTAGTCCTTTACTGCTAAATGCAGAATGAAAGCGTTGTATATGGAAGGATGCCGCCCATGCAAGCAGTTAACAGCACGCTGACTGTATATATTTGCTAAAGCCTTGGGGCTTTGTAACAACCATACCCATTAATCCTATATTGTTAGATGCAGTGTATATATATCTGTATGAAACATGTATATAATAGACCCAGTGATCTAACTTACTATAGAGTCTTGTGTGAAACAGACCTGAGAATAACTGTAGCTATAGATCTGTCCCAACACTTAGTCTCCCTGGATGTTAGATCTTAAAATCAGCCAAAATTGCTATACTGTGCTGATATAGTAAATGTCTAGTTTAGAAACACTTGACGTCTATTTAAACCAGAATGGATAAAATGTATCAAATTCCGTATGATACATTGACTCCATATCCTCTGTTGCAAGGCTGGAACAATGCTAGTACCCCTTCCTGACTAAACGCTAGTATATGAAAAAAGGTTCAGATGTGTGAGAATAGCATAGCCTCAGACGAAGGCGCTTTAGCAGGGCCGAAACGCGCGTCAGCCTTCTTTCTTCTTAGATTTTAAATCACTGCACAAGCTTGCTTATTCACTTCTATCATGGTGGGAGATTTGTTGTGGGTAACCTTGTGAGATGCTATTCTCCCACATCTGAACCTTTTTTCATATACCAGCGTTTAGTCAGGAAGGGATACTAGCATCCTTGCTTGCATGGGCAGCATCCCTTCATATACAACGCTTTCATTCTGCATTTAGCAGTAAAGGACTAGCTGGTAGAGTGGTTCTAATACCCTTAAACCCTAGCAGTTATATGCTGTCAGCGTGTAATCTACCACTTATATAGGCAGAATCTTGTTATCTATATGGTTCAGTTTTAATTTATTTCCTCCTGTCTAGTATTTATTTTTCCTTATTTTTATTCATTAAAATAAAGGTTAATTTTAATACATATAAGTTTGGGAGGGACTTCCTTTTCTGCAGCCTGGGTTTTAACCCTGAGGCTACTTTCTCCTTAAAGTTCCAAAGCATCCTTATCTCTAAAACTCTTATTTGTGGTTGGTATTTGATGTACAGATCATAATTAATGCAAATATACAGTACTCATTAACATAATATTCTTCCCTCCTAACCACATGGAAGTCATGTACAACCTTGCTCTTGGTACATACATATTACATATTAGACACACTTAGACAGATTGTCTTGTTTCATTAATAAAAGTTTTACACCTCCGAAGTCCTATCCACAAAAAATGAAAAGCACAGACTAACTGCCTTTGAAGATTCATCCTGACAGCTAGAAAGATATCAGTATTAATAATTGGTCTCTAGGAGCTACAAGACCTTGAAAACACCCGAAAATGTTATAAAGAATGGTTATGCACATTATCTAATGCTCTTTAGTGCCATTAAGGATACATTCATTATAATTCTTACAAAGACCTGAACAGAAGTATTTTACTGTAACATTCCCATAATGCATTGACTTGTTGTCTGCTATAGCAACTGTCTCATTGCTTTGATCCTTTTGTGATGTCTCTAGTTTGAAATCCATTCTTAGATATACGAGCTGCATTAGTATGAGATCAAACTTAAAGGAACACTATAGTCACCTAAATTACTTCAGCTAAATAAAGCAGTTTTAGTGTATAGATCATTCCCCTGCAATTTCACTGCTCAATTCACTGTCATTTAGGAGTTAAATCACTTTGTTTCTGTTTATGCAGCCCTAGCCACACCTCCCCTGGCTATGATTGACAGAGCCTGCATTAAAAAAAACAAAACTGGTTTCACTTTCAAACAGATGTAATTTACCTTAAAGGGACACTATAGTCACCTGAACAACTTTAGCTTAATGGAGCAGTTTTGGTGTATAGAACATGCCCCTGCAGCCTCACTGCTAAATCCTCTGCCATTTAGGAGTTAAATCCCTTTGTTTATGAACCCTAGTCACACCTCCCTGCATGTGACTTGCACAGCCTTCCATAAACACTTCCTGTAAAGAGAGCCCTAATTAGGCTTTCTTTATTGCAAGTTCTGTTTAATTAAGATTTTCTTATCCCCTGCTATGTTAATAGCTTGCTAGACCCTGCAAAAGCCTCCTGTATGTGATTAAAGTTCAATTTAGAGATTGAGATACATTATAGAGAGAGGACCTTAGCCATATTCTAATGTTATCTGTTTTTTGCTTTAATGCATTTGCCTATCCTCTCCTTAAATTAAATGGGTAATCCAGATGTGTAGTCCAGATGCTCTCGGCGGACCCTGTGTTTACAGGTGGTCTCAATGCTCACTGTGTCTAGAGGCATATCAGCTACATCTCACAGACAAAAAGAAGACCAAAATAATCATCTGGGGTTCTATCATGCAGAAGGGACTTGCGGGCATTTCGGATTTGGGCTGCCCGTATAGGCTGGATAGGTTTGATAGGCAAACAGAAATAATCCGAATGACACAGAGTACATAAACCTGGGATGAACACGGGCTTCACTTATGGTCATATCATAACCAGAAGTTATGGTAGGGACCTATGCGCTCTGTCGATGAGCCAGCGTTCATCTGGGATCTCTGGCAGGTTAGGCAGGAGGATGGTAGGTACGGTGGCCGCGAGCGGGCCCTCATCCGCTTGTTCAGGGAGGCCACGTATACGCAGATTGTTGCGGCGTGAGGGGTTTGCCAAGTCTTCTAGTGCTGCTTCTGATGCCTCTAGCCTTGTTGTGAGCCGGTTGATGTGCTCTGTGGCTACGTTGTGTGCTGCCACTGTGGACTCGACCCTTTGTTCCAGTTCTGTAGTACGGGCCCTTAGTGTGTGAATCTCAGCCATTACTGCTTTGGAACTACGTTCTATTTCGCGGGTTAAAAAATTATTTATCGCTGCCACCTCTACAATGATGTGCGCTATCTTTGATGTAGGTGAGCGTTGCATCTGGTAGGACTCACTGTCTGTTGGTGAGGCTGAGGCCCTTGGGCTGGACTCGCCGCCCATTACCATTTTGACCCCTGGCATTGTCTCATTAGCTATTCCTTGACTGTCTATGACTATCAGTTTTGGTCAGCATGATGCCAGCGGAACAAATGAAACAGTTATACTTTCAGGAGACTACGCTGTCTATGTTGAAAAATGACTTGCAAATGGTCAGTGATGAATGTGAACACTTGTAATGAAGTTAAAATATCCATCAAACAAAAAAAAATGACTGCACAAATTGAAAAAATAGTTATTAATTTACTGTGACTATATTCACGGTGAAGTCTTTGTCTTTTGGCTTTGAGATATAATAGACTTTCTGTGGTAAAGTGAGTGTTTAAATTTGAATTAATTTTACGGCATTCCTTTTAATAGAAGATTAAAAATGTGCAGTTAGACGCAGGGCTTTAATTTAAATACATGATTGCACTAACAATGGTTTAGCAGGCACAAAAATTGAATAAAAAAACATTTTAAGGATGCGCAGAACCGATGGCTCTATTTTTTCTGGGGAAATGGAGTAGTCATATAGACTTCAACACAGCTGAAAATATGCCCATTTCCACAGGGTAAATGCATCCGCACTCCACGTAAAGGTGAGCACCTCCAACAAATCAAACATCTGAGCAGGAACAGTCAGTGAGGCCCCCATAGAGTAATATCAAAAGGGTGAACCCATAGTGTCGGTCCATACCAGGCTCCAAATGTTGCAATGCTGGAATGATGTGAAAATAATCCCTAGAGCTGTCCCCTGTCCCCTCAGTGGTGACCTAGCCTCACCACTAGTATCAAGTATATGCAGGCATCACATACCCACAGCCACATGTCTGTGACAGCTCCATCCCACTACCAGGCTCCATCTCACGCATGGAAAATCTCCAAAGTGGATCACTCCAAATCGGCCACTCAGCTCCTCCCCGATTACACAGCCAGGCTTTCAACAAAAAATATACACATCCCACCAGACCACCTCAAATCTGGAGGTGGAAGCCACCCAGGGATGCCACTGGGAGAGCTATGGAGTGTAGCGGAGAAACACTAGCTACAAATGAGGCTCAACAGAGGCTTCCACCCAGCATCCCAATAGGACAGTCAGAAGGTGTCCAACACACAGTGTATCCATGTCTGTGCAAAACAAAAAGAGGAGGGAGGGCAGGAGAAACCTGAACAGGACCAGGATAACCCCACTGTTATGAGAAGGGGTACAGAAGTGGAACACCTCAGGGTGCTGTAAAACTGCTAAACATAGCAGTGAGGCAAGATCCTGAACATTTACCCATCAAATCCAGCACCTGCTAAGTAATATGTGTCCTCCAGATATAAGCCCAGAAGTGACCCTGAATCACAGTGTAGGTGGGCTGCACATGGTGAGTTAGGTCAAGGCAAAAGTTCACTGTATTGTGGGGCAGTAACATCTGTCCATCTGGTACCAAACCCAGGCATACCCCACATTTTGTGAATAGTCCGTTGTTTAAGCATCATGAACCAAATTTAGGGTATTAGAGCAGAAGTCAGGAGATTTGGTGTCTGACCAGCTTAGCAGTCCGGCCACGACCCCATTACCCCTTATGTCTTAATCATTATCATCCTATTTTCCTCTTGCCTTTATTTATATTTATTATTATATTTATTACCTTTTCTTCCTTGTCAAAATCTAAATACCAGTGTGCTGCCATTTTGTTCTGTTCTGTGATATCTGTAGTTTGTCCTTGTGGCGAAACCGGCCTCGCCACGTGTCCTTGGAGGGGGCTGCTTGCCCGCCTCTTGCCTTTGGACTATGGACCAGACTTTATGTGAAGTTATTAACCCAGATAGCTATGCCATGGAGCCCATTCGTGTAGTTAAAGACTTCGGCTCCATGGCAATTGAACTGTGTGAATAGGATCTGAGCGCTATTTGGTAGTTTTGTGCGCTCAGATCCCAGCTATCTTGGGATATGTGACATGTCTGTGTTTTATGTGTAAATGTGACTTTATGTATTTTAAAGTGTTTTGTGTCTTTTTGCAACCATGTGCTTAATGGAGTCTTGTGTCTGTCCTGGGAGATAATTGAATTACTTATCTCCAGGATAGAAGACTCTGAAACTGGTTTGGGCCCGAAAGCCATGCTTCATTTAGTCACAAAGGACTTTTTACTAACTTTTGAACCCCTTGTCTGATTTGTGCCATTTTTGAATATGTTGTTCCCTGAATGGATTGATTGTGAATATGTAATTTTATGTGAATGTGATGTATGGTTTTGGAGTTATGAAAGTTGGGTAGAAAGTATGTTTTAACTGTATGTATAATTGAGTTTCCTCTCAGGATAAGGGGAGGGAATATGTGGGATGTAGCTGTGATGTGATTGGTTGTTTTATACCTCCCTGTGGGCGGTCCTGTATTTGCAAGACTGTAATAAAAACCAGGCTGGGTGTGCCAGCACCTGAGTTCCTGTTTTAACCCTCAAAGTGAAGTGTCGTCTCATTATTGGGGGAAGGATTTATTGTATGCTGTTCCAGTTTGATTGCTAGGAGAGTAAACCTATTCGTATGGTTCCTATTCAACTGTCTACAGCATTCATATGCTTGGGAGAATTTATTTGTTTCTCCGGTTCGGTGATTGTGGTGTCTGCCAGAGTGCTTGGAGTCCTCAGGAAGCGCTAGGAGCATCCTTCAACGGAGGTACCCAGTCGGGGGTGCCAGGTGATCCGTTACATTGGTGGCAGCGGTGGGATGGCGTCCTAGTGCGAGGTAAAGCAGCTCAGAGACACCGTTCGTGGAGTTACAAATTGAGGGCAATGCTAGCACACGTGCAGCACCCCTGGGAGCAGAGGTATCCAGCGACTTGGAGCAGACAAGTATGGAAGGCTCTGGCGATGATTGGATGGCCGAGGTGAGGCAGCGAGTGGCCCAGTATGGGGATGATTTACCCATGGAGGTACGCCGGGTGATCTGGAACCAGGTCACGGCCGAGCGAAACACAAGGCTGGCCCGAGAATTCCGGCTGGCGAAAGAGAGAGAGTATGCTCAGCGGAAGGAGTGTTACAGCAGCCGAGTAGAGGCTGCATCCGAGGAGGCTAGCGTCTCCCCCTGAGGCGGCCGCAGGAACCCGAAGTAGGGGTCCTCATAGACTGGTCCTGTGAGGAACCACAACAGGCAGGTGGAGATGGGACTGGCCCAGATCCCCAGCAGCAGCCGGAGTTGCCAGGTGCGGAAGCAGGTGGTCCTTACTCACAAATGTTGAGGGACCTCACAGACTGGTCCTGGGAAGACCCACAGATGGCAGGTGGAGATGGGACGGCGGTCTCTCTACCGGCCCTACAGGGATGCTGGGCGGTCGGCCCAGATCTCCAGCGGCAGTGTGAGTCCCAGGGAGCCGAAGGGGTCGTCCTTCCTCCCCAGCGGCAGTGTGTACCCCAGGAAGCAGAGACCGTCTGTCTCGCACCCCAGCCGCAGGACAAAATATTGAAAGGGGAGACAGTTGGTCCACCTCTCCACCAGCAAAGAGAGTGTCAGGGAGAGGAGCAGGTTACCCCCTCTCCCCAGCGGCAGTCTACATTTCAGAGAGAGGAGCTTGTTACACCCTCTCTCCAGAGGCAGCCTAACCCACCAAGGGGAGATGTTAAGCCCCACAACTATGCAGAGGGGACCGTAGTCTCTGCACTTGCAGCACCAGGGGTAGGGACAGTCGGTCCTGTCCCCCAGCCACAGAGCAGTGTATCCAGAGGGGAGACAGTCAGTCTCCCCCTCCCACAACCAGGCTCCAACCAGGCTACTTCAGTGGTAGCGCTGGCACCCGGGCAGAGTACCGCTGGTCTCTGCCCACTCAGCAACCCACCAAGGCAGTCTACCAGCCCCCCGCACAGCTGTGGTGAGGCACCTGGACATGGAAAAGTTGCTATTTTATCCAGGTGTAGTAACCAGTTATTGTGGGTGGGCTGTATTGCTGTTTGTGCTTCGTGGGTGGGTTGCTGGACTAACCAGGACACTGACCGGCAGGAGGTCAGATACCCTGTTAGTCTGGATGGTAAAGGGGAGAAATGTGGCGAAACCGGCCTCGCCACATGTCCTTGGAGGGGGCTGCTTGCCCGCCTCTTGCCTTTGGACTATGGACCAGACTTTATGTGAAGTTATTAACCCAGATAGCTATGCCATGGAGCCCATTCGTGTAGTTAAAGACTTCGGCTCCATGGCAATTGAACTGTGTGAATAGGATCTGAGTGCCATTCATCTAATAATGTGCACTCAGATCCCAGCTATCTGGGGATATGTGAAATGTCTGTGTGTTATGTGTAAATGTGACTTTATGTATTTTAAAGTGTTTTGTGTCTTTTTGCAACCATGTGCTTAATGGAGTCTTGTGTCTATCCTGGGAGATAATTGAATTACTTATCTCCAGGATAGAAGACTCTGAAACTGGTTTGGGCCAGAAAGCCATGCTTCATTTAGTCACAAAGGACTTTTTACTAACTTTTGAACCCCTTGTCTGATTTGTGCCATTTTTGAATATGTTGTTCCCCTGAATGGATTGATTGTGAATATGTAATTTTATGTGAATGTGATGTATGGTTTTGGAGTTATGAAAGTTGGGTAGAAAGTATGTTTTAACTGTATGTATAATTGAGTTTCCTCTCAGGATAAGGGGAGGGAATATGTGGGATGTAACTGTGATGTGATTGGTTGTTTTATACCTCCCTGTGGGCGGTCCTGTATTTGCAAGACTGTAATAAAAACCAGGCTGGGTGTGCCAGCACCTGAGTTCCTGTTTTAACCCCCAAAGTGAAGTGTCGTCTCATTATTGGGGGAAGGATTTATTGTATGCTGTTCCAGTTTGATTGCTAGGAGAGTAAACCTATTCGTATGGTTCCTATTCAACTGT